CCACATGGCGCAGCAGACCTCTTCTGGCCTGCCAACTACACCCTTTAGCAGTGTACTTTGTCAGTCGGCCTGTTCTGCTCCCCACTCTGTCTCTGGTGAATCCTTTCACTACCCCTGCACCTCCGGCCTGTACCCCAGTTCCGTATACATAAATAAATCTTTAAAAAAAAGAAGCTTAAACTGAGAAATGGAGAAACACTTAAGGCAAAGGGCTGAAGAAAAGCTGGCTTGAGCTTCAGAATGAGCTGGCTGACTGATGAATGTGTGCTCACTGCAAACATTTCTCACACTGACTAATCAAGAGTCAGAGTCATCAGTTAAGATCATGTATCTGAAGGACCTATGTATGGCCAACACACAGATGTGCCAAGAAGAAAGGAGGATTTTAGAGGTGCTGCTTCCATCCAAGATAATATAAGGTCTGATTTGCCCTTTCAAACTGAAATAAATGTAAAACCAGAGAAAAGGTGAGAAACAGTAGTTTTCAGATGCTGGCTATCAGACTGTGCAGGACAGTGAACCCTAAGATGGGTTACCCTCGCTTACTGCTGGGACAGAACTGGCCGTCTCCTGAATCAGGACACAGACAAGGAAAGGCCTGGTGGTCAGACCACAGAGCAGGAAGGGCAGTCAGGAGAGTGAGTCCTGCAAATGAAGTTCCAGATTGCAGCTCAGTTCTGATGTCCATTCAGGCCTTCCTCTACAACATGGCCAGTAGCTACTGTACAAAGGGTGTACTTTAAGCCCGTTATAGCTACTAAGCTAACAAAGGACATAATGTAGAAGAATAAAGGGCAAATAAGTCCAAAATAGGTCAGAAAAAATAGGAAAGGGAACAAAAACAGATGAGACTGAAAACTGATAGTTAGGTGACAGTTTTAAATCCAGTATCAAATAAGTCAGAGTATATATCAATGGTTTACACACCCCAATTAAAAGGCAGAGGTTGACAAGCTCTGTCAGAATTATATGCTGCCCATAAGAATCCTGTATGAAAACACAAAAAGGTTAAAAATGAAGTAATAGAAAAAAGATAAACTATGCCAATACTGATTAAAAGGAATGTGGACCAAGTAGAATAATATCACATGAAGCAGACTTCTTACTAAAGATTATTCAACTTATTCTCAAACAGCTTAGGGGAAAGTTCCTTGTGATGATTCTAAAATAAAAACACTGTACTGAGACAACGGATATAAACTCCGTGAAAGCAGAGGCCGTTTCCTTCTCTTCTAACAGTGCCACTTCCTGAATATTTGGCGTGTCTACACTTCGGATTTGAGCCTTGACACAGAAGTCCAAACAATACATAGAATTGATAAGCCTAAAAAAACTGGTAAGAGAAAGTTATCTCTAAATTCGGAGATAACTACAAAAATAAATACTGAGGAGGAAGAAAAGGTTTACAGCTAGGGAACTGCCTGGATGAGGCGAGGGAAAGGTACTTTCCATTACAGCCCTGTGTACTCACTGTTTCCAAGGACTCACAAAGTGCCGTACTTTTACTAAGAAAAATGGGGCAATCTTAGAAAGAAACACTAAAAATAAATTAGGATGGGCTCTCACAATGATTACAAGGAAAAGGAGCCCTTTACTTGGGTAAGTAACACTTAGTAATTCTATTTTTTACATGATAACCCAGTCACACCTTACATTAGCTTATCTGCTTACTATCAACCCTTTCCTTTTCCAAGATGTGTAACAAGGAAAAGTAGGAAACAGTTCTCAGGAGTTACTTATAATAATGACACATTCATACAATGAAATTATGCAACTAGTCAGCACAAATGATGGAGTTAACTGCTATTTTTCCCATGCCAATGGAAATGGAAGAAACACAAATGGAACTAATACATTCTCATCAGTAATGGGCTCCTTCCAAGCAGAATTCTCACTTGGGACCCCAAATAGAGGCCTATAGGAACCTGGGGTAGTGGCCATGTCATGGGAGTAGGACTGATATCCCAATAGCCACCTCAGAACATATCCTCAAACTCATGCTACACTGAATACATTCAATCTAGAAAGAACTTTAGCTGTATATTATGTGAAAAACACTTCGAAGACTATCCCATGCTTATAAAATAAGTATCTTTAATACTCTCTCAGGCCCTGAAAATTTTGGAAAAACTAAAATTTTAATAAGAAGTTATTAAGATGACAGGACTTAAATATTTTTCTACTTTTCTATGATAAATATCAACGAATTATTAAAATAATACCAAGTACAGGAAACATTTTCCAGTAGATTAATGTTTTAATTCGGCTGAAGTTCACCGTGCCGCCCTTGGCCCGCACAGGCACACACAGCCTGACGGAAGCCGGGGAGGCTACCGCGAGGGCCGCGGAGCCTCAGAGGCCGGCAGGTTACCTTCTTGTCCAACAGCGCCTGCGCACTCAACATCATGAAGCTATGGAACGAGGGCTGGGTACTTCTGCTCTTACAAATGCCTCTTTGCTTATCTTTATACACTGTATTACTCACAATAAAAGTTAATCATAAGTTTGTTGGTGGACATATATCTGAGGACAAATAATCACTGGCCTCCAACTGCCCTGGAATGAATCAGAAGATAATGAAACTAATGGATTTTATCTTCTTTACAATATAATAAAATCCTCTAATCACAGATGCGAAGAAAATTATCTCTATTCAGATAAACTGATTCCATGAAGTGAAGACGAATAATGACCAGTCTTTCTAAATAACCCTTAGCGATCGTGGTCTTGAAGTAGCAAGGAGTGTTCTTTCGTGCTGCTTGCAAGATCATGCAAATGAGAACTTACCCAGGACGGCTGCAGCTGGCCCTCGGTTACCAACATTCTTGGGCCATGGGTGCTGGAGCGACTGTGCCAGGAAAGTTAAGCCATGTGAATCTGACAGAAAGAACACATTTCAGGATTTGGAAAGCATGAACTAAAGCCCCAAATACAAACATGAATTCGTGGGGTACCTCCCCTGCTCTTGCTTTGCTTTAAGGTTTACAGAACTTTGCTTCCCCAGCAGAACATTCGTCTCATAGTCTCACGCTAGCAGTTAAGTGTTTAATGTCTTAACCCCTAGACACACAAAGCCATGTTTTGGAAATATCTTGAAATGATGACCATAAAGACTTCCAAAATTGTCATTCCATATTATTAAGTATTCGAAAACAGTTTTTCCTGGTCTCACAAAACAAACTAGCAGTTGTAGGACCTCAAAACCTGCCACAAGCCCTCAACTAAGATTACAGTATGAAATTCAGAGCCCAAGTTTAACTTAATGTCGGTACCTTTTGATTCCTCTCAATTAGTAGGTTAAAGGGAATATAACTTCTGAGAATCCACTTACTTTCCATTCCCTGACAATCTTTTCCTTGCAAAAACATTGGCCAAAGAGTAAGTGCTGGATTGAGCTTATTAGAAAAGGATGTTGGCTTTACACTCAATCTTGGTTTCTCTAAAGGATCATGGTGTTTATTCTCCATAGGTGATACATAACAAGCGAAGTTCTTTGCAACCAGATCATCATTAACACAAACCTGCACAATTTTAAAGCAAGAAGACATGTAGTCAATACATTGTTCAGGAGATATTCCAAACAACCTTAAATAGCAATCTTCAAAAAAATTTTTTTAGATAGAAATCAATCTCTTGCCTTCTACTCTGGTAACAGTAAACTAGACACTTTTGACCAGCCCTCTTAATAAGAAAAGTAGCAAAAGCATGTAAAATATAAGAGGCATATTCTTGAAGGCACTGCAAAGACACCACTATGCCAGACAACTTAGGGGGAAGACAATGATGAAGCAGTCATCAAAGGAAAAACTGTCAAAATGCATCAAAATTTCAAATTTCTGCTCTTCAGGAATTCTGATACTTTTATGAGATGAAGAGCAATCCGCAAATAGGGAGAAAAAAAATGTTTTAATTAAATGTCTGTATGGACATGTTATCCAACTTTAAAGTTCTACAGTTGATCTTAGCCAAAAGGCTGAGAAGCAATAACATGTAAAATTCTTTAAAAACACCTGAACACAAAAGCCAGCCAAAAGCTAGGAAAAAATACATCATCAAAGCGATAGATGGGTTGTAAAAGTGTGTTTAAAAATACTCAATTTTGGCCCTCCCTGGTAGCGCAGCAGGTTAGGGCACAGCACTAAGAAGCTTAAGCCACTTCCACATGAGTTCGATACCTGTCTGCCCCAGAGGAGACCACATGGCACGGCAGACTTCTCCTGACCCGCCCACTGCTCCCCTCAGCAGTGTACTTCGTCTATCTGCCTGTCCCTGGTGAATCCTTTCACCCTCTGCATCTCTGGCCTGTACCCCAGTTCTGTATGAATAAATAAATCTTAAAAAAAAATACTCCATTTCTGTAGTAACCAGGGAAATATTTTTTTTCATGTTTTTAAGTGGTTTTAAAATTAAAGTAACAGTGTTATAACAAATTTCAGGTGTGGATCACTGAGAACCAACATGTGTATGTTTGACATGAAATTTACCACTGAAAGTTCAATTCAATCCCTCACCATTGTCCCCTCCATCCAAAATCACCCCTCCCTGCTGTCTGTTAATCACTAACTGATCCTGTAGTCCAAAAACAGTTTGCTTTTGTTTGATTTGGTTCATCTGCTTGTTTTCTCTATTATCACATGAGAGAAATTATGTATGGTGTCTTTCTCCACCTTGCTTATTTCAATAATCAAAATTCCCTCTAGTTCCATCCACTGTCACAAATGGCAAGACTCCATCAGTTTTATAGCTGAATAGTATTTCATTGTGTATACAGCGAGCATCTTTCTAATCCTCATGAACTGATGGTTATGACTGAGGAAAGAATCGAAAACCTAAAGGTGGCATCACAAGATTAAAACCTGACTCACACAAGGAGGTAGGGGCAGACCTACCCAGTTAAAGGACCATTAACCCAGTTAAAGGATCTAGAAATCAAGATCCTTAGGTGCCAGTGCTGGATCACAAGGCAAAAGACCCGCAGGTGTCAGCCTGTGGTAGGAAATGTCTGGAGCACATACTTGAGGGTAAAGATAGAGAAATTGGGCCCATTGTGAAATCCAATTCTAGACAGTTACCCCAAATTATCAGCAAACAAGTCCATCCACACAGGTGCGAGCCCTTCCCAAAGAGAAAGGCTAGAATGGGGCAGCAGCCTGCCTGCCCATGACCGCTCTCCTCAGGGCCGCCTACCTGTGGCCAGGCAGGCCTCTCAGCAAACCTGTCCCTCTTGAGGCAGCTCTTTCTACTTGCTTGGGTCTATGCAAGTGTGCTCTACTCTGTCCCTTTTCTAATAAACTTCTTTAAATATAACTAACGTCTCTGTCTCCTGGAGAAACTCACTGTGTGCCGGCGAAAGGGGAGCTCTGCTGAAACCTTTCCCAGCGTGAACCCAAAGACCCTGCGCGCTCCAACTCATCTCTAAAAACTACATCAGTTATACAAGTTGCTTTCAGTTCTTACCGACTATAAATTGTGTGCAATCAACATAAGGGTGCAGGTCTTTTTAAACTGGGTTGTTTTGGTAAATATTTTGGGATAACTGGATCACAAGAAATTTCTGTTTTCCGTTTTTTAAGGAATCTCCACATCGCTTTCCATATTGGTTACACCAATTTACATTCTTACTAATAGTGTATAGGATTCCTTCCTCTCCCACATCCTTTCCAATACTTTTGTTTACCTTTTGGATAATAGCCATTCTCACAGGTGTGAGGTGATCCCTGTTGTTTTGATAAGCAGGAAATGCCAATTTAAACCATAAGGAGATTCCCCCAATACATCAGAATGATCCTGTAAGTATTTAAGGATCTGCACTCCTCATACACTGTTTATGGGATTATAAAGAGGCCAATCACTTGGGGGGGGGGGAAGGAATTGGCAGTTTGTAACTACCTTCAATACCATCCAGAAATGAAAATATAGGTGCACAAAACAACTTGTATATGAATATTCAGAATATACATAGAAGTTTTATTTCTAATAGCCTCCAAAATCCATGGACCAGTGAATAAAAACATGGTAGCATATCTAGACAAAACAAGAGACTACCTCACAAAAAGGAACAATGTGGATTTAAAGTAATTTCATTGAAACAAGCCAGTCACCCCTTCCCCAACCAAAAAAAAAAAAAGAAAAGAAAAGAATCCACAGGAAGACATTTCTGTGCTTCCTTCAGAGCTGGAAAGGGAAGGCGCCCCTATTTTTCTTTTGCTGGCATTTATGACCTCATGCATCCACTCCAAGTTCTCTCTTGGCCAAGTGTCTTTCCATTTTATTATCATGAAGAAAGAGCATGTTATCAATCGCATACAACCCCACCCACAGAGAAGAGGGCACTCCTGAAAGAAGCAGAGAAGAGATTTTAACAAGACTGAAGTTACAATCAACATTTTGGTATGTTTACCAAGTAGCAAAATAAGCAATGAAAAGTCACAGGTAAAATTAACAAAGAGGTATGGGAAACCGAAGTGCAAAACACGAATAACAAATGAACCATTCTAGAAATGAATACCATTATCATGCTGCAGAGGGTAGAAGAACCAAAGTTACTCTGAATAACTGGAAACTGGCTTTGGCTGCATGATAGAAAGTTTAAAACATATTTTTCATAGGCATGTGAAATTTTGAAATAACTTTTGTTGGAAGTGACCAAATGCAGAGATTTACTGAGGGACTGGATAAGGGCAGTAATAACTCAGGCCTTGCATCCAAAGGTGATGAGGCGGTAATAAACTGGGCCTCGCATCCAATTCACAGGGCCTTACGTCTGGGATGGGACTAGAAGAAGGTGATAACAAACTGGGCCTTTCATCAAGGGACATAGTGTTAAGAATCTATGTAAGAGACCCTCCCCCCCATAGGGCTGGCCATAGCTGCGGACCCCACCCTAGGGGCTCCGTCTCAGCTGCTGTCCAGAGCAATAAACTCTGCTTGCTCAGCCTTTCTGCCTCCCGCCTCTTTCTTGTGACCGGTCACAGAAGTTGGGACAAAACAACTTTATGTGAAAAATCAATGTTAAATTTCTGATTTAATCATTGTACTACAGTTCAGTAAGACTGGTACTAAGGAAACTCAGGCAAAACATATACAAAAAATTGTTTTAAGAATTATTAATTTATGCATACACAACTGGGGTACAGACCAGAGGTGTGGGGGGTGAGAGGATTCACCAGAGCCAGCTTGGGGAGCAGAACAGGCTGACTGACGAAATACCCTGCTGAGGTGAGCAGTGGGGAAGACAGGGGAGGTCTGCCATGCCATGTGGGACACCTCTCTGGCCAGGATCAAATACATGCTGCAGTGGCTGCAGAGAGCTTCACAGTGCTGTGCTATAACCCTTTTCACCACCAGGGAAACCCCACATACGAAAAAATTTGTTCTACTGATACATTTCTTATCTGCATGTTAAATTATTTCAAAATAAGTTTTTTAAATAAACCCATGGTGAAGATGCCCTCTGGGGGCCTCAACCTGTATCTCCACCCACACCAGGGGCAGAATTGTGCCCTTGTGCCATCCTTCACAGAGTGCACCTTAACGGCTAATAACCGGGAGGGGGAAAGAGGGCTCTTTCTGGATGATACTTTCCTTTTATTTTTACATTTTAAAAGGATGAATTTATTAAGAAAGGAGAAAGGAAAACATAGAAGAGGCACGAGAGCTGGAGCTGCTACTTTTGTAAAGAGAAGTTTGTGCAAAGAAACCCCCGCAGAGTCAAAGGTGGGCGGGAGCAGTGGGGGCGGCTTCTCTCTATGTATGTGGTCTGAGTTCTTTACAATGAGCCTGAAACACATGGGGGAGGGGGCACGAAACACTGAACTAAGGCCATAAAACGCGTGTATTTATAGAATTTACGTCTTCCTAGAAGAGGACGCGTACTCATCACTGTAGGATAATGTAGTGTCCACTACTAAATAAAATGCTACCTAAAACTGCCAGTGTAATTTTAAGTCTTAATCAAAAGAAGAAAAAATCCTGGCTAACTTCTGATCTAACTTGAACGAGTAAGAAAATATGTTGTGTGAATGGCATTGCTTTCCTTTATTTCCTATTGAAATAAAATTATAAAATAATAATGAAATATTTTTTAAACAAAAATTTTTACTTACTTTTTCATTTTTTACAGTTACATAAAGATAAACCTCAAAAGTATCTTCTTCCACAGCACATAACTTGGCCTCCACCTGGGTAGTTGCTAAATAACGTAAATGGAGACGTAAGTCAGCCGATATGAAAGGATGCCTGCAGCAGTGCGACAATTTCCCAACACTGGCCTCTGCTAACCAGCTGTGGCTGCAGGGTCACCTCTGTGCAGAGGGGACGTCACACAACTGCGCTGCGCCCCCACCCATGAACCCAGGATCCTCCTTTCCCTTCTGATGACTCCCAAACCCCCATTTCCAGTCACAGCATTACATCTTAGCTCCTCTGTTGGACACCTAATAACCAACCAAAGCTCCATGCCTATTTCTCCTGGAACTAAGCTAAAGGGGTTTCCTTCCACCTTACCACAAACCTGCAAGGTAAGTACTGCTGTCATTATACAGGTGAGGAAAGCCAGGTCCTGGAAAGGCTACATGTAAGTAGCTGGTACTTGGTCTCTTCCTCACCTGCATCTCCCACTGTCCCCCGAGACACGCAAAGGACAATGACCCCAACCAGTGACCCCAACTTCCCATTTCTCCCAGGTGGAAGACATCTGGCTTTTCTTTGACCCAGACAATGAGGCAGTGGAGAAGGGCTAGGACCCCAAGAGATACCAGGTGGTACCCTGACACTTCACACGCACTACTCCCAAGCCCCTATTTGCCTCTTCACTGCCAGGGGTTAGAAGAAGTGTTACGATGAAAGTGTTTTATAGTGGACAATAATAATAAAACAGTTCATTAAACACTGCCCTGAGACATAGTGTGCACCCAGAGTTAGCAAAATGATTAGTACACAATAAATAGCCACATCCTTATTCACACATAAAAGTTAAGCTTTTCAACAACTGTTGGTTGAATTCAATATACAAAAATTTATTTTTCAGTACTACAACTTCTATGGAAACAAACATTATTATTGTGCAAGAACTGCTCACCCAAATAGCCCCTTTCTGATTTCAATTGCCAGTTATTGATGTTCATAGTCCCAGGATTACTTTGAAGTACCAGGTAACTTGTGAACCCACATAAGCAGGGTCAAACAGCTAGGCACACACTCTCAGACACTCTCACTAAGAAATCAAAATAGGTTGTGGGTCAGCTCAAAGCAGACTGTAGTGAAGTGCCTTTGTCTTACCTTTGAGAATGTTCTGGAAGTACTGAATCGCTGCACTGTCCCACTTCTTGGCAGGTCTGGAACAGTGAACACATGAACATCATTAAATAATTTGAGGCCTGTATACTAATGTTTCGTAAAGCACAGCTGCGTGCTTTCTACACGTTGGACAGACAACACGTTGGACCTGACCAGAGCCGGGCCCCGCCTCTGCTCTGAGGATGCGAGGCTCCTTTCCTCTCATGCCTACTGCTGGCACCACCCCCTTCCTGGGGCTTCCTGAGCCACCACCATGGTGTCCCAACACCACTCTTCCCAGTTGCCACCAACACATCTGTCTCCTCATAGGACACACACTCCCTAGAGCAGAAGTCCTGCCTGTGCAGTGTTCAGCCCAAGCTGGCCCAGAACAAGGGCTCCTTGTGTTTTGTTTTTTCCCTTTTTTTTTTTTTAAAGATTTATTTATTTATGAATACAGAACTGGGGTACCGGCCAGAGGTGCAGGGGTGGTGGGAGGATTCACCAGAGACAGAGTGGGGAGCAGAACAGGCCAACAGACAAAGTACACTGCTGAGGGGAGCAGCGGGCGGGTCAGCAGAGGTCTGCCGAGCAATGTGGTCACCTCCAGAGCAGGCAGGGATCGAACTCATGCTGAAGCATCTTAAGCTTCTCAGTGCTGTGCTTTAACCCGCTGCGCCACCAGGGAGGGTCCGTTTTTTCCCTTTTATTAAAATTTCTTCTTACACCATTGAGGTCCCCATAGTTCTCCCACCACCAGATCCCTTATGAATCGTTTCTATATTCCCTTGTGTTCACCCCCCTCTCCCACCCTGTTGGGCCCCACTCTAGCCCCCTCCTTTGCTGGATGCCTCAGTTCCAAGGTCAGCTTGCTAGTTTTGACTTTTTTATGATCTTTTCTTTGGTTTCCCCATATTTCACACAAGCATCTGGCATTTATCTTTTCCTTAAACTAATTTTGGCAAATATAATCCTTCCCAGCTCCATCCATGTTGCTGCAAATGGCATGAGTTTGTCTTTTTTGATGGCTGAACAATATTCCATTGATCCATTTGTCTATTTTGGGGCATTTGGGTTGTTTCCTATCTTGGCTATTATAAATAGTGCTGAAATAAACTCAGGGGTGCAGGTTTCCTTCTGAGTTAATGTTTTTTGGTCCTCTGGGTGATTTCTTGGAGTGACTCCTGGATCATTCGGTAGCTCCATTTTCAGTGATCTTAGGAACCTCCACAGCTCTCCACAGTGGCTAGACCACTTCACATTCCCACCAGCAGTGTAAGAGGGAGCCCTTACTTCCACACCCTCTCCAGCATCTGTTATTTTCATTTTTCTTTTTAAATGTGAGCCATTTTTACTGGAGTAAGGTGGTTATCTCATTATGGTTTTGGTTTACATTTACCTGCTAGTGATGTTGACCATTTTTTTATGTGGCTATTGGCCATCTGAGGGTAGCTCTTTGATTATTGTCTCTTCTGCATACAAACGCTTTTAGTTTGATGTTGTCCCAACTGTTTGTCTTCACCTTTGTTTTCCTCACTTCTGGAGAAGACTTCTCAAAGATGTTTCTAAGGTTTATGTCATGGAGTATTTTGTCATTGTTTTCTTCGATATATTTTATGGTGTCACGTCTTACATGAGAAAGATTTTTATCCATTCTGGGTTGATTTTTATATGTGGTGTGAGGTAGCCTAGTTTCTTTTTTTCTTTTTTTTTTGGCATGTGGCAGTCCAGTTTTCCCAACACCATTTATTGAAGAGGCTTTCCTTGTTCCAGTGTATATTCTTTGCTCCTTTGTCATCGATTAACTGACATATACGTGTCATTTTATTTCTGGGCTTTCAAGTCAATTCCATTGGTCTGCGTGTCTACTTTGTTCTAATATTGTGCTCTTTTTATTATAATGACTAATATTGTTTGAAGTCTGGGATTGTAATGCCTCCATTCTTGCCCCTTTTAGTCAGGAGAGTTTTCACTATTTGGAGTGTTGTTTTGTGTGTGTGTGTGCATGTGGTATTGAATTTCATCAATAATTGTTCTATTTCTATGAAGAATGTCATTGAGATTTTTACTGGAATTGCACTGAACCTGTAAATTGCTTTTCACAGGACGGCCATTTTGATAATGTTGATTCTTCCAATCCATGAGCAGGGACTATCTTTCCATTTGTCTCTTCTTCTATTTCCTTTACAAGTTGTTTTGTAATTTTCCTTGCATAGGTCTTTCACCTTGTATTATTTTTAGTATAACTGTAAATGGGAGGGCTTTCTTAATTTCCTCTTGAGATTATTTGCATATATGAAGGCTAGTGGTTTCTGTTTTCACTTTGTAGCCTGCTACTTTACTAAAATGATTTATTGTTTTAATTTTCTGTGGACTTTTCAGAATTCTCTATACACATTATATCTGAGTATGATAATTTCATGTCTTCTGTCCCTCATGTCTTTTTCTTACATAACTGCTGTAGCTAGAATGTCCAGTGCTATACTGAAAAGCAAGGGGTGAGCATACACATCTTGTCTTCTTCCAGATCTTAAATGATGTTAGCTTTGGGTGGCTTTTTTTTTAATAACATAATAGTTTATTTTTACATCATTTTGTACTTTTTTTTTTTATCTCAATTGTAATCCCTGTGGGTTTCCCATTTCATGGGTGGCTTTTATTATGTTAAGGTATGTTCCTTTTATCCCAAGTATATTGAGTGCTTCATCATAAATGGATGTTGGAATTTATCAAATGCTTTCTTAGCATCTATTGACATAATCATATGGTATTCCTTTCTCTTTTTGTTGTGTTGAATTAATTGATTTTCAGAAGCTGAACCATCCTTGTCTTCTGGAATAAATCCCAAATGGTCATGGTGTACAATTCTTCTGATGCAGTGTTCCCAGGATTTTATTGAGGGTTTTTGCATTTTTGTTCATTAGAGAAGATTGTCCTGTAGTTTTCTTTTTTGTGTTATCTTTGTTTTTGGTATTTGTTTAATGTTGGCTTCGTAAAATATACTCAGTAGTTTTCCTTCTTGATTTTTTGAGGGTGTTTTGTAGGATACGTATTCATTCATTTTTTGAGTGTTTGGTAGAATTCACTTGTGAAACCATCTGGTCCTGAACTTTTGTCTTTTGGGGAGGGTTTTCATTATTTTTTCAATTTCACTGCTTTTAATTGGTTGAAATGTTCTTTGGGTGATTGTGTAGTTCTAAGAATCTGTCTATCTTATCTAGATTGTAGAACATTTTTGTATATAAATGTTTATAGTAGTATCTAGTTATGCTCTGGATTTCATCTGTGTCTTGTAATTACTCATTTTCACTTACAGTCCTACTTACTTGGATGTTCTATTTTTCTTCATGAGCCTTGCTAGGGGTTGATGTCTATTTTTTTTCTGAAGAACCAGCTTTTGGTTTCACTGATCTTTTAAATTTGTATTTCATTTATTTCTGCTTTAATTTTTATTACTGCCTGTCTTCTACTGGTTTTTTAATTTTGTTGATTTTTCTAGTCCTTCAAGCTGGAAGATCTGGTAGAATTTTTAGGTTATTTCTTTTTTCTTGATAGGGGCTGTATTGCTATATACTTTCCCCTAACGAATCCTATACATTCTGGAAAATTATGTCATTTTGTCATTTGTCTCAAAGTTTTTTTTAATTTCTTCTTTGATTTCCTCATTAATCTAATGGTCTCTCAGTAGCATGCTTCCATGAAATGGACAATCTCTTTCTTTTTGTGGTTGATTTCTAGCTGATGGCATTATGGTCTGAAAAGATACTTGGTATAATTTCAATCTTCATGTATTTGGTGATGTCTGTCTTATGACCTAATATGTAGTCGATCCTTGAGAACAACCCATGTACATTTAAGAAAAATGAGTACTCAGTTCGAGATGCAGCGTCTTATAGATGTCTTAGGTTCACGTGGTCTAGATCCTCATTTAGGGCTATTGTGTCTTTGTTTAATTTCTCTCTTATTGACCTGTCCCTTGGTGAGAGTGGGTGTGGGAGTTCTGAAGATACATAGTGTACTTTCTCCAGTGCTTGTTCTGGGAGCTAATAGTAACTGTCTAATGAGTGTATTTTGGAGCTCCCCCATCTGGTGAATATATACTTGATGGGTGTTACGTCTTTCTGATATATTGTTCCCTTGATCATTATATAGTGTGCTTCAGTGTCTCTGTCACCTTTTTTTTGTTTGTTTGAAGTCTGTTTTATCTGCTCTAAGTATGGCTACCTCTGCCTTCTGGGGGCGGGGGGGGGGGGGGGAGTGGGCATTTGCTTGCAGAACTGTTTTTCAACCTTTTATTTTCAATCTATACTTTTTATTGGTAAGTTTATGAGGCCATTAACATTTAGGGTGGTTATTGACGCATGGAAGTATGTTATTGCCATTTCTCACTCTTCAATTCTGTTAGCTACCTTGTTCTATTCTTCCTGTTCATTCCCCTGTTGATTTAGACTTTAAGGCTTCTGTATTGTTTTTGGACTGGGTATTTAGTAGTAGCAAGTTTCTGAAGATTTTGCATCTCAAAAAAGGAGGAGAGCTTTGCAGGATTTGACTGGCATGTCTGAATGTCACTCCATCCTCTGAATGTCACTCCATCCTCTTTTTGCCAAGTCTGTTTCTTCAAAGAGTCTGAAGCCAGTTTAACTGGTAACTTTATAGCTTATCTGTTTCTTTCTCCTTGGTGCTTCATTATTTTGCCTTGGAGTTCTGGAAGCTTTACTATTATGTGCCTCACTGTAGCTTTCTTTTAGTTACCATACTCTGGAGTTCTTCTAGCTTCCCATGTCTCTTTATTTCATTCTTCATGTGTGGGAAGTTCTTTTCAGTTATTTCCTTGAATAGCTTCTCAGTTCCCTCATCTCTCTCTCCTAGGATTCCTAACTTACATTTTTCTTTTATCATGATGTCAGATAATTCTCAGTATTTCTGCATTCTTTCCTTTATGGCTCTTTTTATAAAAATCTGTATCTTCAAAAGTACTGATTCATTCTCCCACTCATCTATTTTTGTGGCATCTTCCAGAATGTTTTAGTTCCTTGGTTTTAAACTTCTCCAGTTCCTTTATTTTTAAATGATTCAATCTCATTTTTCTGTTTGTTGATTATGTTTCTCAGAGAATCCAGTTCCTTTCCTGCTTCTTTTAGGTTTTAAATTCAGATGATTCTAAATTACATCTTTTCTTTTTAAAGATGTCTTTATTTATGCATACAGAACTGGGGTACAGGCCAGACATGCAGGGGTGGTTAAGAAGATTCACTAGAGACAGAGTGGGGAGCAGAACAGGCAGCTTGATGAAGTATGCTGCTAAGGGGAGCAGTGGGCAGGTCAGGAGAGGTCTGCTCTTGGGCCAGCCAGGAATTGAACTCGTGCTGCAGTGGCTGAGGATTGTATAATAGTGCTGCGCTTTAACCCGTTGTGCCACCAGGGAGGGCTGACTGTAAATTCTTTATGTGTCAGATAGGCAGAGAAATTCTTCCATGTCGGTGTCATTGGGCTCTGGAAGCTGATTTTCTTTCTGTAGTGTGCTGTTCGCAGGAGAGCTTGCTTGACCGCTTGTGTATTTCTCGCTCTCCATTGTTTCTTTCCATTCCTTGTTTGCTCTTGGGATAGGGTCACGTGGATCCTGATGCCTGCTGACAAGACTTCTGTGTGCTTTTCCCAGGGCATGTACGGATTTGCCTGGAGCTTGGGTCACTATGGGTGGTGGGTGGAGGCTGAGGACAGGTCTCCTCTGGTCTCTCTTCATTTCCCACCTACCAGACTCTTCCAATGGTTAGCAGATGGACCTGCCTGCTGCCTGGGCCACTGCGGCAGCTGGATGGGCTCAGAGGTGGGGGTTCCCATGGCATCCGCACTGGGACCACACTGCTGCTGCTGGCAGGCGGAATATTCCGATGCTCTGACCTGGGTGTAGATGCACCTGCCTGCTCCCTGGGCCACTGTGGGAGCTGGGTAGGGGTGAGGGCAACAGTGGCTTCCCTCAACCATACTGCTTGGGGTAGTCAAGGCCCCTGATGTAGGGCTCCTGCTGAGGTCCTGCCCTCTGGTGAGAGCAGCAGGCTGGATGCAGTGCACTTTCTGGTGTTGGGGCACACAGATGAGGACACCTGATGCAGGGCACAGCCACCATGAGGTTCTGTTGTGGCCTGGCCTGCTTGGAGATGAGGGCTGGTTAAGCACTGTGGCTGACACTGACTTTTTCAAGGCTTTCTCCTGTCCTGACAGCTGGTGTTCGGCGGTGTTCGGAAGGTGGCGCCAGAGGGCCGAGTGGGACGCGCCTCCCAGCAGTGTTTACTCCTGAGTTGTGCCTTCGGGAAAAGGAAAATACAGTTTCTACTACTTCTGTGGAGCTGGTGACTGGCACAGAGGTCTGAGTTGTTCACCTGCAGGTAGCCAGGGGTTCCAGGTATAGCAGGGTGGTATACTAGGGGGCTGCAGGCTGGGAGCCTGTCCTGGCTGCTGTTGGCAGGCTTGGTGGCTGGGCTTCACCTTTTCGCTGAGTGCCCTTGGGGAATGGACGCCTCCTCATAATTGTTTAATCCTGGGATGTCCTGGAGAATTGCTGGTGAGCTTTGCTATAATCTTGTTATTACCACCTTTTTTAGGAGACAGATTAATCCTAGCCCCTCTATTCTGCCATGTTGTTGTTTCTTAAGCATCTCCATACGTGTTACTTAAACCGACATTCTGAACGTGGTCATGAAAAATCCAGTTACAATTATATCATGTTATTTCTCACTCTGCCACCTCCCTTCCATTGTTTTCCCATTTTTCTTAGTCGTTTTTCCCTTTCCTGTGTGTGATACTGTGATTTACAATAGAAAATTTATACTTGGTCTTTGACTTCTTTCTGGTACAAAGCTCTTAAAACCAAAGGAATTCCCTCGTAAACAAAGCAATAAAGGAGTCTTTTGTTATATTAATGACATGGCTTCAGCTGAACCAAAGGATAGGAAGGAGGCAACCTGAGAACTGGACCAGTACCACGGGCTGTGGCAGGAGACCTGGAGATTGCTGACTGGAGGTTGGTTGTTGACTCAAATGCCAATGGCCAGTGATTTGCTCCATTACAACTAGTTACTGTAGTCTCCACAAAAACCCAAAAGGAAAGAGCTGGGAGAGCTTCTGGGTTGGAGAATTTATGGAAACCTGAGGAGAGCAGCCCCTCAAAGAGTTCACAGAAATTCCTCTTCCTTTCCTCACATCTTATCCTATGCATCTCTTTCAATCAGATGATCCTGCATTACGTTCTTTTATAATAAATTAGCGATGTAGTAAGTGAATGTTTCTCTTAAGTTCTATGTGCTGTTCTAGCAAATTAACTGAAACCAAGAAGGTAGTCCTCGAAACAAGTGAGCTACAGCTGGTTAGTCAGCAACTCAGTGACAACCAGGGTCACTGACTGGCATCTCAAGAGGGGCCGTGGGGAGAGGCACAGTCTCATAAGACGAAGTCCTTAACCATGGAACATGAGGTTATCTTCAGGGAGATTGTACCACCGTCCTCCAAGAACAACTCTGGAAATCAAATGAGGCAATATACACAAAATACTTAGCCCTCCAAGGACTAATGAATCAGCTATTTTGCCTAACAAAGGTATTAAGCATATGACTTAGAGAATTTACAGAGTGTTTTTTAAATGAAGGGGGGAAAAAAAGAATTGGTTCTACGCCTTACACACACAAAAGGATTACCCAATAAGCTTTCTTAAAAAAAAAAAAAATAGAGAGGGCCCTCCCAGGTGGTACTAGGGGTTAAGCTGCAGCACTGAGGCTATTGGCCCCCACAGCAGCAATCCCTACCTGGCCAGGAGCTCACCCACAGGGCACAGCAGACAACTCCTGACCCGCCCATCGGCCTGTTCTGCTCCCCGCTCTGTCCCTGGTGAAGACTCTCCCCGCCCCTTCACTCTGACCTGTACCCCAGCTCTGTATGCCTAAATAAATAAAATCTTTAAAAAACAAAGTACTGCTTTCACCTATCAGACAAGCTAAAGCTTTAAAATCTGTAACATTCAATATTGGTGGAAAAAAACAACACTTTCTATACCCCATTGATGGGAATATAAATGGAGGGACTATAATACACCTATTGTGTGGCAGACAATCTAGGTAATTTTATAACCTAAAAGTACCACATGTCAAAGAAGACAGTCAAACTCCTGGCAGACAAGCCACTCCCTGCCCTTTACCTGTGTAGAAAGGGCTATCTGAGGTGCGGGGTTGCAACATAACCCCAAGGCTGGGGAGATACTGAAAGAGCACCACAGGGCTGACAAGGGATCACAAAGAAAAGGAGTGAGGAGGAGAGAAGGGAAAAGACACCTCTGAGAGACCTGGGCGTAGACGGGCTAGCAACAGTCACCACCGAGGGAAAGCAGTCGGTGCTCCGCCGGAGGACAGCAGGTGGCGGGGCTCCAGTCTCTGGGGCAGAAGTGGGCGGTGGTGGTGCTGGCGGGCAGGGTCGGCACTGGCCTCGGGGCCAGCTGGCTAGGGTCTTATTATTAGTGGGGTCCTGAGGGCAGCCACGAGAGGGACACATTACCATAGCACGGAAGCTGTAGTGTCAGGGCGTGCGGGCGGCCAGGGTTTCACAGGCCTCACAAAAGCACCCACAGAGCGGAGGCTTCCGAGTTCAGAGAACACAATGCAACACCTCCAGGACTGCCAGCGGAGGCAGAGCCGCTGCCGTAGCTTCTCCTCTACGAAGCTACAGTCCTGGGGCGGAGAAGAGGCAGAGCATGGTGGGAGCACTGCAGGCAGAGCTTGTTCACGACAGCAAGAACAGGACCGCGCCTCCGCAGGACCGCCTGATGCCCGGGCACCCCGGAAAAATGCCAGCAGCGTGGGCAAGCGCCAGCAAAAAGCAGCGAGGACAGGGCTTGCACGTGTGTGTGCTCCTACACACAGCCTCACCCGTCTGCTGCTTTGTATCCATTCAAAAGCCCAGAGGCTCAGCCTCTGGAAATGGGGCTGTGGGAGGGAACCCTGCTCCGAGAGCAGGTCTGACCCCATCACTCAGAGGACCCTTCCCCGAGAACGACGAGACCTGTGAAATCACCTTAAAGAGAGAGTGGCTTCCTACCGACACCACATACTGGCGTTAAGACTTTACCGGTGACCGACAGACGAGACGCCGTGCACTCACACAATGTCCGCGCTGTCCTCGCAGACGTCAATCTGTAAGGTGACAGGCCTGGTGCAGTACAGTCTGAACTTCTTTGCCCTGTAGGGAAGCTGCATGAAAGCTTCCACTGCAACTCGGATGCTTAACACAGAGACACAAATAAATGCTTATGAAGACAAATTACATGCAAAGCAGTTGTTTCAAGTATACCTGTACATATTCCGCTTAACAAGGAAAAGTCCAATTTTCCTATTTCCAATATAGACCCCAGTAGCACTGGAGACCCTGCCCAAAGAGGCAAAATCTAATTCTTGAGGGCAAAAAAAGCCTTAGTTTCTGAATGCATACACCCTCCCCCCACCCCACCCCTACAGATCACATAAACAGCTGTTCAGTGTATCTTTGGTATTGTAATTTCATGGCATGGAATCAGGGAGAGATTAACAAAAAAATGTCTAAAGAAGCACCTAAGATATAGAGATGGTGGCTAATTCACAATCAACAAATGTGGAAAGCACTATTTAATATTTTTAAACATCAATTTTAATTCCAGTATACAACCAGAATTACCTTCACATTGCTTCAAACGAGCAGACATTTTAGTCTGCCAACTTTGAAGAGCTGAAGCACTGAGATCTGATAAATTGCTCAGCATTTTTATTCCCATTTTTCTGCAGACAAATGACAGGCCATATTCATGTAGAATTTCAACAAACTGGTCCTGCCAAGACACCCTGCAGGGGCGCCTCAGAAAAAGGTGGCGGGCTGACTGCCCCCTCCAGTTTCCTTACACTCCATTTGCAATAGGATTTCCTTGCCCAAAACAAACTGAACTTAGACCAAAATGCTAAAAAGAAAACCGGCTCAAACATGATTGTTATTTCCAACTCTGGTTATAAAGGCGCACAATCACCAGCTAGCGAAGCAGATGCTCTTAAGTATCTGCAAATTTCCAATGTCTGATGAGTCCGCATGCCATGAAATCCTTCTAATTAAGAAAGGAGCATAACACATATTGCTCTTTTCAATGAATGTGCCCACGTCTATTTATTAAACTGACAGCCATTGTACGATGGCACAAAAGCTGAGAAGTAACACAAACACCAAGACCGACATGGCTGTGTCTGAGGAAGTGACGCGGTCCTGGAGTCAGTGCAGGCTCATTCGGAGCTGTCTCCCCACTGATGAGGTGCTAACAACCTCTTCCTTAAGGAGGACAACCAGGGGCGCACATATGCTGGGACATATGCTCTGGCCTCTGTAACCTGGGGTGAGCCAGCACACTGCTCCTTCTGAGGAGACAAGAAGGGTTTCTCTCTGCCTCCTGGTGGTGTCCTTTTTGCAGCCGGGGCTCCCACAGGACCCACTCCATCACCAAAGCTAAGAGGCAGGCAGCGGAGCGGCTGGCCCACAGCACCTAGGCGACACAGAGCTTCTGTCTCTCCAGAGAGAAGATGGAAGGACAGAGCCACCTGCTGGCCTTCGCTGACGCCGCCCCCTGGCGCTCCGCGCACGCAGAGCGCGAGCCTGCAAGTCTTCTCTCCTCGCAGCTAAGATTCCATGTCATGGCCTCTCTATCCCTTTGCTTTGGAAATGGTTACTCTCCTTTAAAACTGACAGCAAATTCCTTAAGTATCGTAAGGAAACATAAACACAAACATACTTTTTAGATTTCACTGGGATGTACTTGGCAAAATCCACGAGGAAACAGTCTGCCAGGTAATGGTCTGCTGAAGACACAATTGACTTAATAATAGCCCTGCACCAGCTCTTTAGCTCCTGACAATAAACCACACAGACCTACAAAGTGAAGAGAAAATTCCAGTGTTAAAATCTTTAGTCACATGAAGGAACTAAAAGGTACACAATCACCTCAGCCTATGGCCTACCTGACAGATGAGGAAAGACAGAAGGCTCTGGGCCTGCACAGGCTGAACACTGCCTGTTGCTGAAGGAACCTAATTTGAGCACAGTCACCTGAACTCACTGTTTCTCTTACATTGTTTTGACTCCTAAACTAAGGAGAATTTTTTACAGTAAAAAGGCAAATGCATTGCTTTACATTCTTACATCAGAAAACAAAGTATACAAATGATCATCATCACGTACCAGACGCATGCAAAGCTGCAGCCCCTGTCCTGTCCTCCTGTCAGGGCTTCACTGCCCTCTAACACCTGCTGTGACCTGCTGCCACGGGGCCTGGGGCCTCATCATAGAGGAACAGTCTGTCCCTCTACTGACGCATTCCCAGTGCCTAGAACAGTCCTTGACACTTGCTAAATCTTCGAACACTACTTATTGAAACGACTAAGTAAATGCCTGCAGCTCCTTTTAAGGGGAATTCTCCTGAAATGGCAGCACTTGGCATCGTGATGTTCCCAGAGGACAGCCAGGCCACTGCCAAGTGAATGCAATCCGCAGACAGGCGGTCACACACTGCGCAGCTTACTAAGCACCAGAAGGGAGGAGTTGTGTCCACGAGGGAGGAAGAGGCCACTGGAGAACACAGAGCAGCCATTCTGGAAAGGACGCAAGGGTCCTGAGAGCCTTACACAGTGCAAAACTCAAATAATTCAAGAGAAACCCTGCAGAGGGCATCGCTCTTAAATGCTGCAGTCAGCCCCGATGGGTGGCACGGGCAGTTGACTCACACAGCTGTCAACTCCGAAGCTGTGTCGGACGACAGCGTTTACCAGCCAACTAGGGGGCAATGAAAGTATGAAGGAAAAATTATTACAATTGATGACTACATTAAAAGCCACTAATTCAACATAGTACCCTAAAAAAAGGAAAAGAAAAAGATAAACCTCTCTACACTGGGCAGCCAAGGCACAAAACCCCTACGCCAAAACTCGTGAGGGAAAGAATCAAGGCACCTTTCTTCTTTTCCAGTAAGAACTGCGTTATTTCAGCGTAGTCCTAAAAGTTGAAGGAAAGCTCTACAGAACCCCAGCTCACGAACACGCGCTGACTACACAAACGACGCTTTTCAAGCTTATCTGAAAGAGCAGATTTGGGGCAGAGGTGGTCCCTGGATGGTGACGCAGACAGACACCACCACGGGCGGGCCGGGGTCCCACGGGATCCACCGCACAACCGCTGCACCCAAAGGGGTTACTGTCTCCCAGTCTGATACAAGTTGTTCCAGCAACAATCATTTTGAGGGAACATGACCTTAAATCTTATCACATTTTGTATCTAACTATCAGTCTACAGGAAATACAAGGGCCAGAGGAGCGGGCACTACCACCACCAGGACGCAGTCAAGCCACGCAAATTACGGGCTACTTTAAAGAACCACTGACCCGAGTGTTTCCCTCCAGCAAGCCAATGATATTGAAAAAACAGTAGTTTGTGTTATTAGCGATTACGGGGGAGATTCAAATTATTTCTGATTTTCCTCATTAAGAGTATAAACCTATCTGATCACATTGCTGAGTGGGCCGGCGGGACACCACTCAGGCCCGTGGGATACGTGACCCCAGCACTGCCCTTGAGGACCCCGGTGAGGGGCTGCTTAGAAGAGGACAGAGCTGAGCAGCCATGAGTTCACTTTCTTCCATCGAGCTGCTGGAAGGCAGAGCCCCACCCTCCAGCAGGGAGCCCCTGACTTCTGCAGCACAGCTGTGCTGCACCCTTCCAGCTCCTGCAGCTGCAATGCCGCCTCACACCAGTAGTCAGTAACTGGGCCTCCTCCCTCTCCCCTCTCCTGTTCATGCTCCCCTCCCTCTACCCTGTTGTTAGAATAAACTTTTGTTGTTTTTGTTGCACCAAAGGCCTTTTTGTTTGCACTTTGGCAGCAAGAGACCAGACCCAGAATCAGGGAGAGGTTATAACCTAGTGACAGCTTTTAGATCCTTTGCCTGCTAAAAACGCTGTTAGACAAAATTCAAATCTTCTGAAAAATGGCTGTACAGAGAATCAGACAATGGGTATGGGAGCTAAGGCCGCAAGAAAAGGAGGAGGAGCTACGACGTGAAGGAAAATAAAGCAGCATGACTTGGCCAAAGTCATGAACAGCCAAAGGGAAGCACGTGCTGACTGAACTCTCCCCGCCCTCGTCAAGGAGGTGCGACACCTTTACCGCTCTGGAATAACTCCTGGTGCCTAGCCCCAGGAGAATGACCCCAATGCCTGGACTTAGGTGACACCCTGCCCCCTACTGCTCCATATAAACCTTATACAATCTACTGCCTAAGTCTTGCACAGCTAAGACCTTAACCTAAAGCAACAGTTATAAGCAATTAAAATACTCTCAAAGCTTTGTTATCACCTTAGTGGCCAACAGAGTCTACATTTTAAGTAGCATTTCAAGACACTTACTTAGAAGTACATTTAGATACATACCTGCCCTTCTTCCAACATTAAAGGCTTTATTTCTATATCTTGACACATGCTATTATAGAAGTCATTCATGGCACTGTTCAGCTTTTGATAGTCCACTTCATGATCTACAAAGGTACTGTATCCTTTTATGATAACCCAGAAGCAACCGGGATCTTCAATCTGTAAACATTTTAAAAGACCAAATAATGAATGATTTAAAAATAAAACCATAAAATAAAAATTTCACTCACAATATATGTTCCTAATTTAAGTGATCTAACAAGCACCTCTGTCACAAGCGATCAAACTAAAGATGAAAGAAAGTAGACCTGCAATATGTATTGTATTCCCTGAACTTATAATTGAATATTGTTCATTATATCTCACAAAAGCTAGGGGGAAAAGACCCAAAGATCAAATTCTAAAATATGTAATCACTAATGTGCAATTCTTAATTATGTGGTGCAGCAAAGAAAGCAAACAGAAATCAGTGTCACAAATCCCTGTGTTTTGAAAATATTTCTAATAAAATACAAAGCCAGGTTCACAATGTTCTTAGGATTCAGTGTCTTATACAAAAACAGGTATGAGTGAGTACATTCTGCTCATATTTAAAAAGAATCAATGATGGCAGATAAACAAAAACAAGTAATTATTACCTACGGGGAAACCAGAAATGGGATAAAGATAACAGGCATGAAAGTCAAACTTCTCTGAATGTATTTTACAATCTATTAATGTTTATAGAAATCAAGATCTTTTGTTACAGAAAACATACAAAGTGAAGAAGTTTGTGAGTCAAAAATATCAATAGGAACTCATGATTTTTCAAATGTATTTACTTCCTAAATCTGCCATCTGATGGGCAAGATTTTGGATTCTAGACACCAAGAGGCAGGAATTCAGATGTGTGCATTAGTACACCATTTTTCTGCATGTTCAACATTTTTATAATAACTGGAAAAAGAACATCTGATCATTCTATTTCTAGTCATGACAAGAGCAGTTTATAAGAACTAACCCACCTGCAGTAGCAAAGAGAGATCCTGGAAAGTGCAAAATGATGATTTCAAGGTGCCGAAGAGATACCAAAAGTTAGCTAAAATTAGTGGTCAGTCAGTCCCCGTAGGAAAGATCCCTGGGGCATTCCCACCCACACAGGTGGCACAGAGTGGGCCTAACGCAAGCAGAAAGCCATGGTGGCTGCAGCTTAAATTTGGACCTGCAAAGCAGCTGAAAATTAAAGGAAAAAATTCTGAACAAGTCACAGAGGGGAGAGCCCTTAATGTCTGGATGTGAAAACAATGCAAAACCATGGCGGACCATGACCTGAACAGTGAGACACCAAGGAATCCAGAGAAAAGCAGCCGTGGGAAGGTAAAAGAACAAAAAAACACACCCCCTTTGGCTGCTGCCTGTGAGAACTGCAGGACTCCTGGCAGTGAGGATACCCCAACCTGGCCACCAGGAGGGCTGTGAGGTCTAGCACAGCTGCCAGCTGAGGAAGCCAACTGCCTGCCGTGGACCCAGTCCTCCTAAAATGCCTCACGTGACGAAGCTCAGGCCACCAGGAGGATTTATGGTTTGCTCTAGTCAACACCTGACATTGGTCCTTGACCTACCTAAGAGAATTTACTAAAAAGGTTCACAAATGTGAGTAATGGCCAGTGAGACACAGCCGTCCTAACCACGTTTACACTGCCCATCAACTTTCGTCCACGTTGACCACTCTATTCTCCGTCCCCTACATGCCCTGTCCCTAAACACAAATTGCAATGGAACTCAGTTCCTGTCTCTACTGGCAGCAGTTCCTGCGCAATTTTTTTTTTTTTTTACAACGGACAGAAACAAACAGGGACATACAGACCCACTGTAGCCACCCTACCAAGCACAGGCTGGGCATCCGGCCACCACACGGCGAGGCCACACATTCACCATGACCACACCACGCAGCACTGCACAGACTGTTCTTAAGTGTGTGGTCGAGCAGAATTCAATAGAATAAAATCGTCAATAGTCAGTTACAGTGAGCCCCTAATTGCCTAGATGTTGGAAAGAACAGGCAAAGAATAGATGGTTAAAGTAAGATTTGTTTATATTTTATTTTTAAAGGAGAATCTCATACTAGAAATGGAAATTATTTAAAAAACAAATTTTGGAAAAGGTAAATTCTAGAACTGAAAAGTAAAATACAAAAAATGAAAAGTTTACTAGTTGGGCCTTCCCTGGTGGCGCAACGGGTTAAAGCACAGCACTAAGAAGCTAGAGCCACTTTAGCATGAGTTTGATCCCCGCCCTGGAGGTGACCCACAGGGCGCAGCAGACCTCTCCTGACTGCCCACTGCTCCCCTCAGCAGTGTACTTTTGTCGATATGCCTGTTCTGCTCCCCACTCTGTCTCTGGTGAATCCTCTCACTGTCCCTGCACCTCTGGCCTATACTCCAGTTCTGTATGCATAAATAAATAAATCTTAAAAATAAAAAAAAAAGTTTACTAGTGTTTGCCCTCTACTACAATGAAATACCACACTGGAAAGCCCTTCAGTATAGTCAGGAAAGAAAAGGATTGTCAAGAAGAAAAACAATTGCCTCTGTTCACAAATAGCATGGCTATCTACCAGTGAATCCAAAAGGTTCCCAAAATATGCAGGAATTAATAAATGACTTTAGCAAGGTTGGAGATCATATAACAAATTTAATTGTGATTCTATATTCCAGCAATGAAAACTGGAGATTTAAATGGCAAAAATAATTCCATCTGCAATAGCATAAACAAGGGGATTATTTAGGAATAAGTGTGGCAATATACACAAAATTACATACTGCTGAAAAGTACAAAATGCTGATTAAAAAACAGTGACCTTCAGTGCAGATATACTGTATCCATGGATGGTTAAGATGTGGATTTTCCCAAAATTGATCTATAAATACAACTACAGATCAACTCCAGAAGGTCATTTTGTAGAAATCAACAATTTTGAAATTTATTCTGGAAAACAAAAACAATCGGAAGAGCCACAATAGTCCTGAAAAAGAATAACACAGTTGGGAGGGCCCCATCTGACTTCAAGATTTTCTACAAAGCTGCAGCCATCAGGAACCTGGCACTACAGAAAGCAAGTCACACAAATCAAAAGGGCAGACACAGACCTCCACATACGGTCACTGCTTTCCCAATAAAGGTGCAAAGGCAATTCAATGGGAAATAGCTTCCCCCCAACAGGTGGTGCTGGAACAATTAGATATTCTGTGTGCAAAAACTATGAACCTCAAACCACATGGAAAAAAAAAAACAAACACACAGCCAGGGCTTCCCTGTGGCATGAGAGGTTTTGCAGCACTACGAACCTGTCCCAACCACTGCAGCACAAGTTCGATCCCTGGCCAGGGAGCTAGCCCACATGGCACAGCAGACGGCTCCTGTCTCCTCGCTGCTCCCCGCCACTGTTGTGTTTCAGTAGATCAGTCTGTTACATTCCATTCCCCACTCTGTCTCTGGAGAACCCTCTCACCCCGCATCTCTGATAAATCTTAAAAAAAAAAAAACAAAAAACCCACAGTCACCACATGGACCAAGGAGTTGGTGACCCACGACTTCCGTGGGAAGAAGGGGGAAGGCAAGAGTGCCAACACAGAAGTTCAGGGAAAACTACCACACACAAGGCCACCCCAGGTGCCATCTCGTATCTGGACCCAGAGCCCACCTGGCAGGGGCAAGACTATTACTGTTACCCAGCCGCCTCAGCAGGAGCCGGCAGCAGCGGTGCGCTCTCACCTGCGGCTCCATTAAGTTGATGTTCCTCAGACCCCAGCCCCTGCCTTTTGCCACTGTGGCCGCTGCTTATCAGCCCTTCTATCAACTGCATACTTCCCGCTCCCTGGGCCATGGAGTGGCTCCATCGGGTGCAAGCTATGAGGTGAGGGTGCGAAATGGCCCAATCAGACTCGTGGGTGGGGCTCCCTGAAAGAGGGTACAAGTCCAGGTTGGTGGGCGCTGGAAGACATTTGGTTCCAGCCCCTGAAGAAAGGCAAGACTGGCTTCCGAGGCGAGCAGCAGCACCCAGCAGCTGACCCCGGGGAGGAAGAGAGGCCGAAGATCTATGCGGAGGCCGCTGGTTTCTCCACCGCCTGAAAGGAGCACCAAAGGCCTGGTGTCTCCGGGGTCTAGTAGCGACCATCATTACTGGCCAGCACTCCTAGTGACAGGGAGCAACCGTCACTGTCTTAGATAAACAGCCACCAGTGGCTACAGGAAGCTTTTGTTTGTAAAATAAACCCCATGGTGGTGGTTCCTGGAGCCTGAGGTCTCTTGCAATTGTGTGCAGGTGATATCCCACAGGCAGGGACCTGTCTTCTTATCGGGCCCTGTCTTGTGTTTGACTATAGCCCACAGACCTCTACCGTGTGGGTGATATACTGCTCTGGCCCTTGGGTTTGGTTTTTGGCCTTTTGCTTGCTCTCAGAGCCTGGGCAGCTAGACAGGACAGTCCACCCTACTACTGGCCTCCCTCCCTGACCGTCCCCATTTCAAGTTACTGGCGTGGGCAGGATTTATGAATCCTTTGATGACTCAAAGAAAGATGAACCAAACACAGATTTTCAGGACAGCATCTGTCTGGGGGGAAAAAAAAAAAGCAATGAAAACTAGACCAGAATAAAGCCAGGACAACTGCAAAGGCCTGAGTGGTCCTGGGGGGAAAAGGTTAAAGATTCTGCAGTGACTTTTTCTGTGGTCACTGTGCAGATGTTTCATGAGAATTAACAGAATATTTTATGTGTGTGTTGGGGGGGGGAACTCAGATCATGTACCTAAATGCAAAATACAAAGCTATAAAATTATTAAAAGAATACATAAGGGAAACTAAAATTATCAAGAGAATACAGAGAGGAAACCTATGTATATTTTTTACATCCAACATCAAAGTATACTTTATGGGGTCTCCTTGGTGGCACAGGGATTAAAGTCTTAGTGCTATCAAGCTTCTGCCAGCCACTACAGCATGAGTTCAATCCCTGGCCAGGGAGCTAACCCACAGCTCCTGACCCTCTCTCCTATCTCACCCACTGCTCCCCTCAGCCGTGTACTTTGTCAGTCTGCCTGTTCTGCTCCCTACTCTGTCTCTCGTGAATCCTCTCGCTCCCACACCTATGCCTACATCCCAAATGGGCTTCATCCAAATTTAAAACTGCTCTTTTAAAGAACAGTTAAATGGCCCTCCCTGGTGGCGCAACATGTTAAAGCACAGCACTGAGAATCTAAAAAAAGCCGCTTCCGCATGAGTTCGATTCCCACCTGCCCCAGAGGTGACCACATGGCGTGGCAGACCTCTCCTGACCCGCCCGCTGCTCCCCTCAGCAGTGTAGTTGGTCGATCTGCCTGTTCTGCTCCCCACTCTGTCTCTGGTGAATCCTCTCTCCCTCCGCATCTCTGGCCTGTACCCCAGTTCTGTATGCACAAATAAATAAATCTTTAAAAAAAAAAAAAAGAACAGTTAAATGAAATTGGGAATATATCTGTAAATCACATTATCAATAAAAGCTTTATGCAGTATATAAAAAGAACTCTAAAACCTCAAGAAAACCAACCATGTAATTAGAAAAATGGGCAACCTGGAATAAATATTTGACAAAAAAGAAAGATGGTAAATAAGCAATGAAAAGATAATTAACACATAATTTGTACTAGGGAATTCAGATTAAAAGCACAATACCATCAAACATCTACAGAATGGCTAAAATTTATCAAACTGGTAATAAGAAGTGCTGATGAGGATGCAGGGCATCCCTTGCACACTGCTGAAGGAACACAAAATACAGTTACCTTGGAAAACAATTCTCATGAGGTTAAACATACAGGTAATCCCAGCCCAGTTATGATCCATGAAATGAAAACTTATTAACACATTAAGTTTACAGCAGTTTATTTTACAAACCCCCCCCAAACTGTGAACAACTCAAATGGCCTTCAGTTCATAATTACATAAACAAACCATGGCATATCCAGCCAGTGGAATACTATGAGCAATAAAAGAGGCTGCGAACACATACACCAGTATGGGCGAGTCTCAAATGCACTACAGAAGTCAAGAAGCCAGGCTCAGAGGCTATACACTGCTGTATGAAGCCAGACACACAATTCTACCACTGGTAAAAGCTGCTTATCTAGAGGGCCCGTAGCCTTGCTGTCCTGAAATACAAATAGTCCTGTCAACTAACACAGCCTGACTACAGAAACCAAGGCCCTGAGCTTGCTTCAGCTGCAATCACCTTCTGACCAAGGGCAACATGATTAATGCTTTTCACCCATAGCTCCCCTTGAAGCGCAAGGCCTCACACCAACTATGTTCAGGTTTCACTGCGCTCTGCTTGCACCTTTCTGATAACTGCATCATTTCAGAGCTGCATTCTTAAGATTTATTTTAAGTCACTAGTCTCATCCTAACAGGCTTGTAATGCTACATATGCTTTTATGCTTTTATTTCTAAGTCTTGACATGGTTCAATCTCAGGTTGCAATAGGCTTTACTTGCAAAGGTTGATTGAAATAGGGAGAGTTCCTTAAGGTCTCACATGACCAACTGTACTACCACAGAGAGCGTCCAGCTCTACAAAGGAAAAGCTGATCATGCAAGATGGTGTTGTGCTCCAGTGAGAGCCTGAACTGGTGGTACACTGACAAGCAGTGACCAGGATCCAACTCATCTGTGGCAGCTGGAGGTAAGTCACGGGTGGCAGTGCAGCATCATGGCAGCGATGCGCAGCAGCTGGCCAGTGCCAGATGCCAGACCAAAGAGCTCTCAGAGGCCATGGCACAGGGCCATGGCACCAGCATTTACAGCTCTTTAGAGATGCCGGACATAGACCAGGGACAAGCCCAATGAATGCAGCTGAAGCGGGGGTCTCAAAAGTCTGCAAGGGACTGTGTCAAAGGTCTTCTCAGAGACTCAAGCCAGGTCTCCCCATGAAACCTCCTGAAGTCTCTCTGGAGGAGTTTCCCTCAAGTTTTTTCCCAAATCGACTGAAGCCAAGACTCGTAGCCTCTGAAGCCTGTGCTTATATGCCCTCTATCCCACTTAAGGGTACCTACCGCCTTTCAACTCTGTTGGATCCATTTTCCAAACCAGTTGTTTGCAAGGCTTGACTGGTGTGGGGAAGGCTTGAACCTGGCTGGTACCAGTGGGAGCTCAGATCTGATCTATTTTCAAAGCGAGCTCAGGGTGCAAAGCTGCACCATCATGTCCTACCAGCCCTATGCCATCTCCTGCAAAGCTAGGTAGGAACCCCATTGTAGCTGAATGGCACAAGCCAGGCTTAAACCTGACCCACATGTCTTCAAAACTGCGTGTTTTCTTCCTAAAACCCAAACCCAGCTGCACCGTGGTGGGCCATCAAACCACGGCATAGCCCAGGCTGATGCCACTCAGCTGGGGGCTACTGGTACCTTCAGAGAACCAAGAGCAGAGAGGGCTCTTAGGCCATCACCACTATCCAGCTCCAAAGCTCTATTCATCTTAAAAACTTAAACTCTATACTACTTAGACCATTCCCCATCCCCTCAGCCTCTGGCAACACCATTTCACTGTCTATGAACTTGACTTCTGCAGGTATCTCACGAGTAGAACCACGCAATCTTATTCCTTCTGTGTCCGACTTACTGCACATAATATGTCCTAAAGTTTTGTTCATATTGTAGCATGAGTCAGAATTTCCTCTTTAAGACTAAGTAATATTTCATTATACAGTTGTACCACATTTTGTTTATCCATTCATCTACTGAGACCCATATAAAAGCTTAACTTATCTGGAAAACTACAACTGGTACCTGTACCACACTTGAGGAAGTACTCCTACATTGGACAGAAAATTTGCTTGGTGTGAAAAGGGTAATAAAAGTCAGAAGAGGGAGCAGAACTGAGAAGGCAGAATAAAGGGGTTTGAGTCCCACTGAAAAGAGGGGGATTCTCAGCCTCAAGGGAAATAAAGGGGTGTTTGAGTCCCACTGAAGAGAAGGAGATTCCCAACCCCAGGCCTGCTCTGTCCCGCTCAGTTTGACCAGGCAGTATCTGGGCAGAGCTGGTCTCTGCTGCCTGGCTGAAGAGCTTGCCAGGCAAGTCCCGGGCAACCCTCTGCCAGCGGCAGCTTCAAACTTTGTAAATCTCTTTCACATCAATTACACTTCTGTATGATTTTCCAGTGATTTATATTTCTTTTATCCAGTAATGGAAACTTCTGGAAGGTTTTTAGGCTCCTTCCTCCAAGTAACATGGTGACCACCCACTGCTTTCCCTATGGCCTACATGGCCAACAACTTCTCACCTGACACGAAGATGAACCATCAGCTGACTAGGGGCGCTCCTCAGGCCCCTAGGCGCGAGACCGTACAGTGCACCCCATCTCTGATTCCACTTCCAGGAGCCTCGTAGAGAGAACGAGACCACCAGGGTCGGGCAGGGGTCCACTGGGGTGGGGTCCCGGAACTGCAGGACCGGGAGGGGTGCAGGATCCCCCCACACCCAGTTTAATGGCAAGAAACACAAGCGGTCCCAGTGAGAGAACATGCGTTGGGGAACGGGAACAGTTACAGGCCCCATATTCACCCACCAGGGCCACGACGGGGGTCTTCACCCAGCGCCAGCCAGTCGGAGGCGTGGGAGAAGGGGTAACATTCTGTCCTTTCCCCGAAGCTCCCAGAGTTCGCCAATACGAAGAGGGCCCGCAGCTGAGCCTGAATTTTGGAGAAACGACTAACTTGGTACTCTAAGTATGCCCCCAAGAGAGCATGGGGCGCGCTTGGACTCAAACCTCACACTGCTTCCGGGAGTGGGGGGCCCGGGTCTCACCCCGCAAGGCCGATCCCCACGGCTCGCTCACCTTCAGCACCAGCACTTTGAGCATCTTCCCCACGCCGCGCCCAGCCGGCAGACTCTTAACGGTCAGCAGCGCCCCGTTAAGGGCCTTCCCTTGGCTGCTCGGAATGCACCGCGGGGCACAGCCCGGCTCCAGGGTGGCCCTCCTGCCTGGCCAGGCTGTGGCTGCCGACACACCCGCACGGCCCGCTCGGGCCAGGCCCGCCATGCGCCCGCGGTGGCACACTCGCCGCCCTCAACGAGGCTGCCGCCCCGCAGGCGCGCCCAGGGATCTGCTCCTCGCTCCGCGCTGACTCCCGCCGCTGGCCTCGAGGCTTCTAGAAACCAGGGCAGGTGCCAACTGCCAGGTCAACCGCCTGAGGCCTTGTATCACCCGCAGGGGCAGGGCGCGAGGGGCAGAGCTGGGCGGGGCCGCGCAGAGCCTGCTGGGTGAGCGCCACT